GGGGCATTACCCACTAAGTTCGCGGGCTGTCCGCCAACGACCTCTATCTAGACTCTTGTTTATTAGTCTCGTGCGGATGGCTTAATGTTATTGCCGTTTCCCTGTTTATCACAGATAACTACCTACTTATTTCGTAGTAGTAATCATGTTTTGTTTGTTTTTGCAGGTACCCGTCATGCCTCGAGGAATTCCAAAGGAGGTAATCTCACTTACGGTATGCGTTTAGGTGTTCTTTCAATGCAGCGCACCCCTGGTAACCACATCTCCTGTCACTTCACCAACCAGTTAAAGTCATCAACAGTGGTGGACAGTCGTGCTCCTAACCGACTGCAAACTGACCCAAATGTGTAACCTGCGCATCCATTTTTTAAACTATACCGTCCCATTCCTTAAGAGATGACCTATTAGGTCAACTTTCCATGCCTCAGTCTGCAGTCTCTTTTTTATAGGCGACAGACTAGACTTCAACCAAGCCTCCCAAACAGACGGAGGTATGTACACCACTGACGGGGTTGCCATCTTTTAAAATTATCATAGGCTGCTGGGGGTGATTCCCCGCAGTCCGCTGCCATATTCTGACCTTTCATGGGAAAGTGTTGTGTCCCTTTTGTTTCAGTGACTGATTTTCTGGCTATACAGAAGCTTAGACGTGTAGGTTGAACGGCTGTCTTACCGTCTTTAAATCCCTTCATAGCCACAAGTTCACCAGTGGTGCTCCCTCTCAGTGGTGTTGGCTGGTGAGTAGCCCTTGTCGGATCAGGAGCCCCACCGGGTGGGCCTCAATCCCGGCGGCGTGGAGGAGTCGGAGCAGCATGGTCGGGAGGGACTGCTCCGTCATTAAAAACACAGATGGAGAGGAAGGGAGATTAATCCACCGCAGGGAGATTGGTGTAGTAGACCTTGGCCGCCGTGAGAGCGGGTGGGAACGCGACGAAGGCACGTCTGCTGTGGTTCCCCTCAATGGTGTTCGTTGGGCTTGACGAGACCTTTCAGAGTTTGCTGGCCGAAACTGTTAATTATACACTTTGAGAGAAAGTCAGTAGAGCGTTGAAGAAAACACTAGCAGCTTTGTTTGCTGACCATGCCATTTTTTGTTCCCTGTTACAGGAGCTTTTGTGGACAAAGACTTCATCTGCACATACTGTAACAAACCCTTTGAGACCCACGAGAAGATGCAAGAACACATCACTATCGACCATCACAGTAAGTGGCGATGTAAAAAATCTCTCCCTTTATTCCCCATTCGGGTTTTACTTCACTCCCCGGCTCTCCAGCTCAGGGTTTTTCAGTTTGCCTAATGCACTGAACCCCGAAAAGGGGCCGTTTAAGTTTGCCTTCCGCATCCCACGGCTGACGGTACTGTTTGCTAAAGCAACTCCCTATTGTCATGCGAATTTTCTCTGAATTTTAGCCCTAATGACGCCAGAATTAGTCCTTACGCACCGGAAGCGCGTGCGTTTAGTTTTTCTAACTAATCGAGTCTGTGTTCAAGCCTTGTATGAGATCTACTGATTTGTCCTGTGTAGCGGCTGTATAGCTCCTGTGTTCAGCTATGCCTGCCCCGAAGTAGGTCTTAACACTTCGGGACCCTAAAAGTTCTTACTCGGAATGTTAAATACGGAACATTATTTATAGTCTATATGTGTCTGGGCATGCGTGTTGATGGCAGTACAATTATTACGGCAGGTTACCTCAGTACACCTTTAGTAAGATAAAACAGCCACTTCACTGTGATTTTCAACTATTCCCCTATGCCTTTTATTATCTAACGCCCCGCCTTTTCTTATCTTTTTAGCTAAGAAGTTATTCGAGTGTGCGTATTGCGATCTCAAATTCTCCAAGGCCTGCGATCGCAAACAACACATCTACGGCGTTCACCCAGGTGATGCCAGCTGACCCCCCTCCCCCCCCACCCAGAATACTATTATAGTCGCCTTGATACTCTTCCAAGAGTGCCTGTTTGCTTTAAGTAGAAA